ACACCTTCAATCCTAGCATTCCAAAGGCAGAGATCCATCTGGATCTCTGTGAGTTCAAAGCCACACTGGAAATAACCAGGCATGGTGACACATGCCTTTAATCCCAGGAAGTGATGGCAGGAAGCAGAAAGGTATATAAGGCATGAGAACCAGGAACTAAGCTGGTTAAACTTTTAGACTTTTAGTAGCAGTTCAGCTAAGATCCATTTGGATGAGGACTCAGAGGCTTCCAGTCTGAGGAAACAGGATCAGCTGAGGAATTGGCAAGGTGAGGTGGCTGTTGCTTGTTCTGCTTCTCTGATCTTCCAGCATTCATCCAATAATGGGGTTGTTTTTATTAATAAGACCTTGTACAATTTGTGCTACATCTGGTGCCCTACTTGTCAGGTACAAATTCTCGAAAAAACTACTTGCCTGTGGCCTTGCGGGGCCCCAGCTCAGACCCAGGCTACAGGTTGCTGGTTGTGGTGGCATACTGGTTGGATTTACTGAAGGAGGCAGAGGCAGGAGGATCCCGAGTTTGAGGCCAGCCTAGGAGGCTTGCTAAGGAGAAGCTGCGGCCAGGGCAGAGCCACAAAAGGTGGCAGTGGGACCATGGAGGCAGCCCCTGCTGCTCTGAGTTACTGGTTCCTTCTCATCCTCCTGGTGACTGGGGTGATTTTGCTACCTGGGGACTGCTGCTTGTTCAGAGAACAATTGCCAGGACCATCGTGTTACAAGAAAGCATTGGCAACAGTCAGTTTGGAAAAGTTTGGCAAGACAAATGGTGGGGAGAAATTGCTGTGAAGATTTTCTCTTCTAGGGAAGAGCGTTCATGGTTCTGAGAGACAGACATTTATCAGACTGTGATTGTTCCAAACCATAGAGGAGACACACACACACACACACACACACACACACACACACACACACACACACAAATGTCTGCAGGGAACCACGACCATGCTTAAGAGACTCTTTGAAATCTTCAAAAGGTTGACAGGATCCCACAAAGATGATTCCACATGGACTATGGTAAACCCATTAAGCTGATTAACCCCATGGAAAGATCGGCTTTGGACTACAAACTGCTCAGAACAACTTTGAGATGGCTAGCTAAGATGATCCAGATTCATATACTACTCAAACAAGGACTTGGAAACAAGCCCTGCACTTTCCCATTATGCAGATCCTGGACAAATGATACAACTAACTCTTTCAGGGATTGACAATTAACCCCCAAATTTTCTTTTCAGGATTCCCTAAAGATGTCTTTGCACCCAGAAAGCAGGAAGTAATTTTAAGAAAATGACACCCACATTCCCAAGAGGTGGGGTGGGTGTTTTTTGGTCTTTCAATGGCTTATATATAATTGTTATTGTTTAAGATGGTTGGTTACAAGTTGTTATTAATGGTTAGAAAAAAGCTAAACAAAGGAGACTAGATACAGGGTTCTAGTTAAAAAAAAAACGAAAAAGAAAAAGAAAAAAGAAGACATAGATAAGAGGTAGATCATTGAATCTACTCTGAAAAAAAAGATTGAAATAATTGGATAAAAGTGTAGATGATTGAATCTACTCTGAAAAGAAAAAGGGAAGATATAGAAATAATAAGCTAAAAGGTAGTTTTTTTTAAAAAGGGAAGATATAGAAATGATAAGATAAAAGGTAGACTTTAAAAAAGAAGATATATTGAATTTATAAAAAAGAGGGTAGATTATTGAATCTACTCTGAAAAGAAAAAAACAAGACAGGATATAGATATGATAAGACAAAAAGGAAGATTATTGAATCTACTTTTAAAAAGGAACTACTTGTTTTAAATAGGATAAATAATGAAAATTTTTATCTGATTTTGTCAAATATAATGGACTGGACATTCTTAATGTATATATTGGAGTTTTTTTTTGTCTGAACCTGTCAAATGTTAATGGACTAGACATTGTTAATGTAATTCTTGACTGTATATATTGTATATACTTACTGGATATAGTTTTTCTTGTATTAGTTTTAAGCTTTTTTAAATTTTAGAGAAAAAACAGGAAATGTGGTGATATTGTGTCCCTCAATATATTGTACACCCTAATAAACTTATCTGGGATCAGAGAACAGAACAGCCACTAGATAGACATAGAGGCCAGGCAGTGGTGGCAGACACCTTTAATCCCAACACTTCAGATCTCATGTCTTTGCTTGGGAAAGACACACGCCTTTAATCCCAGAAAGTGACGGCAGGGCAGAGAAAGGTATATAAGGAGTGAGGACCAGGAACTAAGCTGGTTAAGCTCAGATCCATTTGAATGAGGATCAGAGGCTTCCAGTCTGAGGAAACAGGATCAGCTGAGGAATTGGTGAGGTGAGGTTGGCTGTGGCTGGTTCTGTCTCTCTGATCTTTCAGCGTTCACCTGGCTCTGGGTTTGTATATGTAAATAAGACCTTTCAAGATTCCTGCTACATTGTTCTCTGTGTCTTGACTGCAGATGCAATGTGTCTGTCTGTCCTTGAGCCTCTTCTCTGTGGTGGTATTGTGTTCTCCAAAATATTATGTACCTTCATAAACTTATCTGGGGTCAGAGAACAGGACAGCCAGAATATTAAACATAGAGGATAGGCAGTGGTAGCACACACCTTTAATCCCAGCATTCCAGAGGCAGAAATTTCCAATGTGAGTTCAAGGCCACATTGGAAATAGCCAGGTATGGTGACACAAGCCTTTAATTCCAAGAAGTGAGCCTTTAATCCCAGGGAGTGATGGCAAAAACAGAAAGATATATAAGGGGTGGAGACCAGAAACTAGAAGCATTTGGCTGGTTAAGCACTTGGCTGGTTAAGTTTTTAGGCTTTTGAGCTACAGAGGCTTCCAGTCTGAGGAAACAGAATCAGCTGAGGAACTGGCAAGGTGAGGTAGCTGTGGCTTGTTCTGCTTCTCTGGTCTTCCAGCTTTCACCCCAATAATTGGCCTCAGGTTTGATTTTATTAATAAGAACTTTTAAGATTCCTCCTGCACTTCCCTCCAGGGATGGACTAGACCCTAGAAATGTCAGTCAAAATGAAACCTTTCCCCACTAAGTTGCTTTCATCAGAGTATTTCATCACAGCAAGAGGAAAAGAAACTCAGACAGACAGATGTGTAACATGCATGGATATTTGATTTTTGATAGCAATGAGCTGGTTAATTGTGAAAGGATTTATCTTTCATAGCCATAGTAAGATGACTTGTAATTAAGACTGAAAAAGGAGACTGTTGTATTACCTCACACCATGAAAATCAGCTACAGGACTGTGGCAATCTGAAAAGAGAAGTATCCTGTAGGGACTCATGTGTTGGATCATTTGGTCTCCATTGGTGGCAGAGTTTTGGGAGGGTATGGGTCTTTTAGAAGGTGGGAGCCATGCTGCAGGAAGTGTCGCTGTTGGCAGGCTTGGAGAGTGTGTAGCTTTGCTCTACTTCTTGTTTGTTTTCTCTGCTTCCTTTGGGGAGCTGACATGTGATCTCTGTTTCCTGCTCTGGCTGCTTGTTGCTATGCCAGCCCCACAATTATAGACTACCCCCGTGGAGCTGTAAGCCAGGATAAACTCTCTTCCACACATTTTATCACAGCAACTAACAGGGACACCTGCAATCTCAACACCTAGAGGAATTTTTTTTTTTTTGAGACAGGGTCTCTTGTTGCCTTGTTGCTCAGGTCGGCTTGACTGGCTGCCCAGGAGATCCCAGGGCTTCTGTCTCCACAGGTCCCCATCACTTCGATGAAAAGTGTGTCACCATGCATGCCTGGCTTTTTTTAAACAGGCGTGGGGGCTTGAACTCAGGTCCTCAGCTTGTAAGACAAACACTTTGTGTGTCTCCATGGCCGTGGTTTTTATGTATTCTTTGAGAATTTCATACAATATATTTGTATCATACTCTTTCACCTCCTCCGACTTCTCCCTGATACTCCTCCACCTCCTAAACTCCTGTTCTTTCTCCCTTAAGAAAACAAAAACAAGGGGTTGGGGGTTTAGCTCAGTGGTAGAGTGCTTGCTTGCCTGGCAAGTGCAAGGCCCTGGGTTCGGTCCTCAGCTCTGGAAAAAGAAAAAAGAAAAAAAGAAAACAAAAACAAAACAGAACAACAGCACAAAAGCACAAGAAAACATGGAGTTTGATTGTATTGGCCAACTACTCCTGAGCATGGGGCATTCCATGGAGTGGGCTTGATATTCCCACTGAAGTGAAAACTGACTTTTTCTCCCCAGGCAGCTATAATTACAAATATATTCTTGGCTAGGTGGGAATTTTTACCTACGTTCCTTCCCTACTGGAATTTTTGTCTGGCTTGAATTTGTGCAGGTCCTGTGCATGCTCTCGCCATTTCTAGAGTCCATGTGTGTACCAGTCCTGATGCATCTAGAACACACTGTCTCTTTGGATTCATCTACCACCTTTGGCTCATACAATCTTCCTGCTTCCTCTTCTTTCTAGATCTGAGTCTTGAGGGGAGGGGTTTGATGATGACATCCCATTTAGGACTGAGTGCTCCAAAGTCTCTCACTCTCGGCACACTGTCCAGTTGTGGGTCTCTGTGTTAATTCCCTCTGACTGCAGGAAGCAGCTTCTCTGAGTGTTGAGTGAGATTCTCATCTCTGGGTGTAGCGATATGCCATTAGAGGTTGTTTTATGGCTATTGTTATTTAGCAGAATAATTGTAGGTTTTCCCCTAGTGGCCATGAATACTTTCAAGGATCAGGTACTCACTGTCCATTTCTTTACCAGTAAGCTTGTGCTAATTTTCATTTTGGTCCAAAGGAGCATGGGAATGTCAGTCTACCAATCCATGCACTAGCATTTTAAAGGGTTTTGTCAAACAAAATAGCTTCCAGAGGCCTCTTGATTTTATTAGAACCAAATTTATCTTTATTAAAGAGCTTAAGCTTTTCTCACAGCTTTATTAACTAGTTGACTCTCCTCTTCTGCTCCTGTTTCCATGGTAGCATCTGTGCTTTTTCTGTTCTCATGGGGAATATGGCTGCCAGATGCTTTTCTAACTGAGCATGCGCTCTTCCCCAGGGACACTAGCTGTGAGGGAGAAAAAGCGAGGAAGCTTCTGCTTCCATGGCCCACAGTCCCAGGAACATGGTCTACAACTGTGCTGTGTTGCTGACTGTAAGTAAGCTCTCTGGGTCATTCACTGTTCCAGTTTACAGTCACTACTGGGGTAGTATTACGCCTGAAGCAGTACTCTGGGCTGGACCTTTAGTCTTCTCCAAAGGCCCAAACACTGGAGGATTGGTCTGTAGTCTTGTGCTTTTGGGAACTGATGGAAACTGGTGCCTGTGTCTGAGCTTGTGTATGTACACCTGCACTCAGCTGTCACTCATCAGGTGTCCTCTACCTTGTTTTCTGCAACGAGGTCTCTCATCGGCCTGGAATTGATCAGTCTAGTCAGGTTGGCCAACGGGCCCCAGAGACCTGCCAGTCCCTAGTGTTGGGCTGACATGTGTGCTCCATTATACTTGCTTATTTATCTATTTTTAATGAAAATGATTTTAATGTAGATTCTGGGGACTGAACTCAGGTCCTCTTGCCTGTAAGCCTCTGATGGTGTTATCACTTGACCTCAGTTGATGGAAACATTTAAAAGACGGAATCTAGTAAGAGAATCTTACTTTTTTTGCTTCTTATTTTTTTGGAGAAATATCCAAACTGATTTCCATAATGGCTGCATTAATTTTTACCCCCACCAACATTGAATACAAGTTCATTTTTCTCTGCAACCTCTCCAACATTTGTTGTCAGATTTTTGATCATACTCATTCTGACTGATAGAATCTCAAAGTCGTTTTAATTTTCAATTTCCTAACGCTAGAGACATTAAATACTTTGAAAAGTAGTTATTGGCCATCTGTGTTTCTTTCTTTGAATAGTGTCTATTCTGCTCACTTCCTATTTTATTGATTGACACTTTTATTTACTTGGTATTTAATTTCCACAACTTGTAAATTCTGGATATTAGTGTCTACAGAAACCTTTTATTTTCTTTTTTTTTTTTTTTTTTTTTTTTGGTTTTTCGAGACAGGGTTTCTCTGTGTAGCTTTGCGCCTGTCCTGGAACTAACTTCGTAGCCCAGGCTGGCCTCGAACTCACAGAGATCCGCCTGGCTCTGCCTCCCGAGTGCTGGGATTAAAGGCGTGCGCCACCACCGCCTGGCAGAAACCTTTTATTTTCATGAAATCCCATCTGTTGATACTTGGGGCTAGTTCCTGTGCTACCCCAGATATCTTTATAAGTATTCTCTGTGCTTTCTTCTAGAAGTTTCAGTGCTTTAGGCTTCAAATTAAGGAATTCTTCGCCTTCATTTAGAATCTAAATTTATTCTTCTCAGGTAGAAATCCAGTCTTGTGAGCATCCTTTGTTGAATAGACTATCCCCTCGCCCCCCACCATATACAGTGTATGTTTTTATTTCTTCAAAAATAAAGTGGGCATAGTCTTGTCATTTGTTTTCCCCAGGTCCTCTATTCTATTCCACTTGTTTTCCTGTGTAGTTCCTGCCAGTACTAGGCTGTCTATCCCCACGGGTCTGTAGTATAATTGGAGTTGGCCATTGTAACAACTCCAACTGTGTTCTCACTCCTTAGGACTGCTTTGGCTACTCATGGGCCTTTGTGGTTCTACATGAATTCTAGGATTTTTTTCCAAGCCTATGAAACATGACATTGGATTTTTGATAGGCATTGTATTAAATGTGTAATTTAATTATGGTAGCATAATCATTTTCACAATATTAATTCTGCAATCTAGATGTATGCCAATTTAGGAGCATCTTTCCATTGTCTGTTACCTTCTGTGATTTCCCTTTTCAATCTCTTGGAGTTGTCTTGGAGACATCTTTTGCTTCTTCAATTAGATATATTCTTAAATACTTAATTTTTTGAGCTATTTTGAATGGAATATCTTTTTTTCTAATTTCTTTCTCTGGGAGTACACTGTTGGTATAAATGAAAGCTACTTTTTGAATATTGATTTTGTACCCTGCAACTTTATTGTGTTTATTAAGTCTAAGAGTTTTCTAGTAGACTCAGTTGGGTCTTTTAACCGAAGAATCATGTCATCTGTGATGGAAATAGTTAAATTCTTCCCTGCCTACTGGGATCCCTCTCATGTCTCTCTTGTCTAACTGCTGCAGCTAAGACCTCCAGCATTATATCAAACAAGAGAGAAAAGGCTGGATAGCCTTGTCTCATTCTTGACTTTAGAGGAAATGCTCTCAGTTTGTCTTCATTTAATAAAATGTTGGCTATAGGTTTGTTGTATGTAGCCTTTATTATTTTGATACATTGATATATATTCCATCTCTTCCTAAAGTTTCCAAAACTTTCATCATGAAGGCATAATGAGCTTTTCCAGGACCCTTTCAGCACTGATTAAAATAATTATGTGATTTCTGTCCTTAAGTTTATTTAGAAGGTGTGTTGTATTTGTTGATTATATATGTAGTTGACTATATACTATATAGTGTATATGTATAATGCCTTTCTGGAATAAAATCCACTTGGTATTAATGTATATTCTCCTTAATGTGTTCCTGAATTTGGTTTGCAGGTATTTTGTTGACAATATTTTGCATTTATGTTCTGACATTAGAAGAATACCGACTGGCTCATAGAATGAATTTGGTAGTGTTTCTTCCCTTTCTATTTTATGGAACAAATTAGGAAGAACTGGGCTGAGGTCTTCCTTGACACTTTGGTAGAATTAGCAGTGAACCCATCTGGTCCTGGACTTTTCTTCGAGGTGAAACTTTTAACAACAGCTTCTATCTCACTGCTTGTGATAGGTCTGTTTAAGTTTTTTACATCAGCAGGGCTTAATTTTGGTAGATGGCATGAATCTAGAAATACTTCAATTTTACTGGGTTATCTAGCTTTTTAGAGTAACTTCTTTTTTTTATTTTATAATTTAATTTAATTTTACATATCAGCCATGAATTCCCCTGTCCTCTCTCCTCCTGCGCCCCCCTCCCCCCAACCCACCCCCTAATCCCATCTCCTCCAGGGCAAAGACTCCCCTGGGGATTCAGCTCAGCCTGTAGATTCAGTCAAGGAAGGTCCAGTTTCCTCCTCCCTTCACCCAGGCTGAGCAAAGTGTCCCTGCATAGGGCCCAGACTCCAAACAGCCAGCTCATGCACTAAGGACAGGTCCCGGTCCCACTGCCTGGGGGCCTCCCAAACAGTTCAAGCTAATCGACTGTCTCACTTATCCAGAGGGCCTGATCCAGTTGGGGGCTCCTCAGCTATTGGTTCATAGTTCAAGTGTTTCCACTAGTTTGGCTATTTGTCCCTGTGCTTTTTCCAATCGTGGTCTCAACAATTCTCGCTCATACAAACCCTCCTCTTTCTCGCCGATTAGACTCCCGGAGCTCCACCTGGCACCTGGCCGTGGATCTCTGCATCCGCTTCCATCAGTCATTGGATGAGAGTTCTAGCATGACAGTTAGGGTGTTTGGCCATCCTTTCTCTCGACCATTGCCAGTAGTCTATTGTGGAGGTACCTTTGTGGATTTCTGGGGACCTCTCTAGCACTTTGCTTCTTCCTATTCCCACGGGATCTTCATTTACCATGGTCTCCTATTCCTTGTTTTCCCTCTCTGTTCTTGATCCAGCTGGGATCTCCGCTCCCCTAAGCTCTCTTTCCCTCGACCCTTGCCCTCCATTACCCTCCTCTCACGTCCAGTTTGCTCATGTAGATCTCATCCATTTCTCTGTCATTGGGTGTCATTGGTATGTCTTTCTTAGGGTCCTCTTTACTAGGCAGCCTCCCTGGAGTTGTAACAGTCTAGTCATCCTTTGTTTTACATCTAGCATCCACCTATGAGTGAGTACATACCATGTTTGTCTTTCTGAGTCTGGGTTGTATAGCCACTTTGGAAATCAATATGGCGCTTTCTTAGAAAATTGGGAATCAATCTCCCCCAAGACTCAGCTATACCACTCTTGGGCATATTCCCAAGGAATTCTCAATCATACCACAAGGGCACATGTTCAGCTATGTTCACAGCAGCATTATTTGTAATAGCCAGAACCAGGAAACAACCTAGATGCCCTTCAACTGAAGAATGAATAAATAAAATATGGTACATATACACAATGGAGTACTACTCAGCAGAGAAAAACAATGATATCATGAGGTTTGCAGGCAAATAGATGGATCTAGAGTAACTTCTAATGATTGTCTATATTTTTGAAATGAACTTTTAAAGTGAAGTGGGCATCTTTGCCATATAAGGTATAATACTAGATATTATACCATCTGTTTTTTAAAAATATATAATGGTCTTTTGATAAAAAGGACTTATTTACAGAATTGTGCTGTATTTTGGGTATTAAATGTCCCTCCAAAGGCACACGTTACAAAAGAGTTGGTCCCTGGCTGGAGGTGACTGGATTATAGGAATTATAACTTCATCAATAGTTTTAATGAGTGGGGCCTCATGGGAAGAAGCAGGTCATTATGGGATGTCCTGAAGTGCTATACTTTGGTCCCTACCCCTCCCCGCTCTGCCACCACGGTGCTCTGTTTCAACACAGACCCAAGAGCCAGCTGACCATGGGCCAGAGGCTCTGAAACCAAGTGCAGAACCAAATCTCTCCTCCTCTCCACTTGATGCTCCCAGTGTTTTGTCACAGTGAGGGAAAGCTGACACACATCGTAAAAACAGGTACGCCTCTCGGCTCCTGATTCATATTTATGACCACGAACATTCCTGTCACCACAGAAACCTTCATGTGGAATGGGTCATCTAATGTTTAACTCATTGTCCTTGCCTCCTCGCCCTCACTTCCGCATTAGTATGCTTTCCTGGGGGCAGAAATCGGGACAAAAGCCGAGTAGTCTACATGCTGCGAAAAGGGCCATGCCTAAGATGAGAGTAGGAAAACACTGAACTTTGGAATCACCGAGCTGGGCTGTGGTGGCATGGGGAGCTCTGGGAACACTTCCATGTTGAAATCACAGCTCTAGACCTCAAGGTTCAGTGAAGGCTTTCCACATCAAGACATCACCTCACTGAACCCATGGCTCTCCCAAGCCTCCAGGTTTGATGAGAAGTTTTCTGGCTGGCCAAAATATGAAAATCTTTTCTCTTTATACATTCTTTAAAAAGTG